GTTGCCTTAATGAACAGTGATTTAAAAAATAACCTGTAAAACTCTGATGTTAGGCGATGTGGTTGAAAATTTGGGTGCACCTAACTTTTGTGCTGGTGCGCCTAAGAAAAAATGTGAGGCGCACCAGTGCAACCAGTGCAACAAGTTACCGTATTTTTCGGACTATAAGCCGCAACTTTTTTCCTGAACTTTGAACCATGCGGCTTATATGTGGATTTTTTTCTTCAGCCACCAGGGGGCTCTTATGCTCCATTTGCTTCAACCACTCGCTTCAAAAAAAAAAAAAAAGAAAAGAAAAAAGCGATCGCTTCTAGAGCCGACTGTTGACCAGGAAGCAGTGATTTAAAGATCGTCAATGGCCAAAAACTCATAAAAGGGAATTGTAGTAGAACTAATACTTTCTGTTTAAGCAGGTAATTCATGACATCCTTTAATGACCCAGGTTTTCATGACATTCTGTTCATCTGCAGACAGAATGATTGAAGTCACAACAAGATTTGCTAACAACGATAATCATTCTTAGATATCACTTGTGTTTATCTTTGTGTTTTCCCTTGACCTTGTACCAAATATTGCTAAGATGACAGAATGGTGTTTGTTAATATATATATGAGGCCTCTCGAAACAGAGTTCAACAGCAGTGTGGAGTGACAGAGAGAAGCAGAGGCACAGAGACAGGCCAGGTTGTCTGTGTTTCCTGTTGTTGCAATAAAACTCAGCTGATCATCTCACGGACTACCTTCATTCTTGGACCACGTATTTCTGGCTTTGTTAGATAAATATTTACCATAACAGGAATAAAACAGACATTTTTCACGGTGGAATCTGACTGATAAAAACTTCGGAGCTTAATCCAGGACCAGTTTGTGGATAAACGTCGAGTGAAGAGCTGCTGACTTTTTTCCTCATTGCACTCCCCGGGGAAGGAATCCCATGCAGTGACGTATGCTGGAGCGGGAGGCCTTTCCCAGCACAGTTTCAGAGCCAGCATTACCCCAGGAGGACAGCGACACAGAAAGCAACACTGAACAGATACCGCTGTGTGACGCAGCTTTTCTCAGCTTGTTCAACTCCGACACTGAAGAGGACTTCGATGGTTTCAGTGCGCCGGAGGAAGATGAATGAGATGTTTTTTTGGACCAGAAACTGTTAAAACTACCAAAATAAGGTCAGTTAAATGAACCGTATTCCTCCGAACTCCTAAAGGTTTGCTTTTTATGTTTTGATGTTGAATTCACTTTTTTGACGGCAAATTTGGGTGTACTGTTTTTTTTTTTTTTTATGTTGGGGGTGCGGCTTATAGTCTGGTGCGGCTTATAGTCCGAAAAATACGGTGGTCTAGAGCCCTGTTCATCTTTATAAGTGCGTGTTTGTGAGTATAACAGTTGACTTCTGGAAGCGAGTAGCTGAAGTGTAATGCCACTGTTGCTTTCTGAGTGCTTTTCAGCATAAACAAACACGCCCACAAACTTCTGACCAATCACACAATAACTTCATATGCCGAGGGGGGCAAAACACTGAGTCCAGGCCCTGTGCTAAGAGGCAGCGGGTGACATGAAGCTAAAAACAAACTGATGCGACTTTTGTCACACTATTCTATCAATGAGAGCGGATGTCGCAGGATCGGATGGACCATTCAGATCCCTTAACTCATCTGGCAGACACACAATCAGCAGACTCTCAACACCATTGATTTTAACAATGGTTTTTAAGAAATCAGCAACAAGTGATAATGTACCGATTTATTGAAAGGGAGTCCTAATTTTATTGTGGTAAATGGACTGAACTTAAATAGTGCTTTATTAAGTCCCTCCGGACCTCAAAGAGCTTTACACTTGAATTCACCCACTCATACACAAACACATTCACATACGGCACATTGTGAAGTATTTTAAGCTCAGTTGTGACCTCAAAATCAGGGCCACTGATGTCTGCAAACCTACGTTCATTAGTAGTTTTAGGAGCAGGCTTCCTGGTGGCCCAGTTGGTTCTGATCTGCCTTCCTCCCAGCCACTGTCCTCCCATTTGTTGAATTGCATTCTCTGCATCCTGAACACACGATAAGAGGTTAAAAAAAATGACGACGATTTTAAATCCGGTTTTTAAACAACACAATTAGTCTGAAAACCTTTTCTGTATAGTCATGAAGTAATAAACTTACCCATTTGTTGAAAAAGGAGACAAAGCCATAGCCTTTAGATTTACCTGTGGCCATGTCTTTCACCACTCGACAATCCCTGCAAACATAAACAAAACACCAAACTTCTTCAATACTGTTGGATAAATACCTGGTAATTAGCAGTTACAGTTACAATTTCAAGAAAGTTTTATTGATGTGAAGCGGGGATTTATTTTAGATTTTCATCAATGCTGGAAGCATTTTATTTTGTTAGTTTTAAAACTGTTGTTTTATTTGTCTGGAGGCTAAATTAATGAATTAATGAAGTTTTTCTGTTATTTAATGTTGTGGGAAGAAAGGTGTAGGGCTGCAACCATAAGTCAACATAATCGACAACATCGATTATAAAATTAGTCTATGCAAATGTTGATGTTGACACTTATTTACCCAGGTAAATGTTAATTTTTAACTGCAATGCAATACATGAACTGCTGGGGGCAGAATCGCTTCTACTGCCTGCACTTGCATTGTTTACAAAAGAACAACAGGTGCTGGTCTGCAAACCGCAGAAGACAGCGGGCACATCAAAGAGAGATAATGAAGGAACAGAAAGAAGACTGCGTCAAAGAGGGGGAAAAAAAACAAGACTTAAACTTTCTAAAGTTGCCTACATTTAACCAAAAATCAACCAAAGAAAGTAAAGTGCAGACTTGGTCTATCCATGGCAGCACAGCAGCAGTAATTACATGATTAATGCCAACATGCTGGACCCACGGTTATCTCCTGAACGTGGATTAGTTTCAGAAAGTTAGCTTGTTCATCAGGTTGATGCCTCATAGATCTTATTTTCAGTGACTATCACAGACCGAAGATGTTGTATTTAAATGCAAGTTTAGCAACTTTGCTGATGAAATTCAGGCTGCAATTAGATGTCAAATAAAATGCAACTACAAGTACTGATATTGGAGCTAAATTACTGTTTCTTTTATTTATTTACGTGTACCGTTTTAATAGTGAAGTTATTCTTCCAATGAAAAGATGTGTCAATACATGTCCCAACACATTTTAAGTCAGATATAAAACCGATCACTATGGTACCAGGGTAGCACATGGTCAGGTAAATATGCCAAGGGAAGACTAGACCGTCTCATTTCACAGCAGTTTTATGCAGCCTACCCAGTCTGGGAAGGACGTGGCCCAGGTGGGCTACGTATTCATGAGGATGCAGCCCATGAATTGAGACAAAGCCAGTGTGTGTGTGAAGCACACAATGTTATGTTAACATTAACTAAAACATAAAAGTGCAATCATATTAAATCACTGAATTATAGCAATAATCAGTCTTGTCTCGTCATTTCATGTTTTCTGAAAGCGTTTAACCCTTTTTTTTAACAGGATGGATTATTTTCTTTTTTTGCACCCGAATGTCACTTTAACCAGTTATTCTTTTTTTTTTTGAACTTGTAAAACTATGTTTACACCCCGCAGGGCAGGTTAACAGCCTCTCATGCTGGGGAGAGACTGCTAGTTTGAGTAATTTGCATATTAGCTATTAGTTTAAAAGACTACTTGCAGTTTAATATGCATTATGCAGTTTCATTTTTATTATGTTTACATGTATTAATGTTTAGCTATTAAGTTTGAGGTTCAAACTCGTGTTTTTTTTGTTTTTTTTTTTCCTATGAGAACATTACTTTTTATGCTAAGGTAGAGAGGCTGGATACATGCATGGACAAAAATGTTGGTACCTCTCCTCTCATTTAATAAAAGAAAGATGCACAACTGTAACAGAAATTTTTATATTATTACTTTTGTCAGAGTCTTGTTCCTTCTGCATAAATGGACGTTGTGACAGAAATAATCAGACCAATTAAAAAAACAACAACTCAAGCTTGGTTTATACTTTGAGTCTCACATCTTGTTCCCCTGCTGAGTGAAAAAATATTCTGTCTGCTTTCCCGCTGCTTCCTCTAGTGACAGCCATCATGTACATTGCCCCCCGTCAGAATCCTACGATGCGGACGTTGGGGCTCAAACCGTGTGATTGGTTAGGACTTCATGGCTGTGTTTGTTATTGAGGAGCATGCAGCGGTCCAGCAGCTGGACTCAAGCAGATATTCTTTCTTGGTAGGGGTGCACGATAGTTATCAGCCCGATATCAGGGAATTATGATGTCATATTTATCGGTCCAAAATCATAACAAACAGAACCGATAATATATGTACATGTTTGCCAGCGCTGCTTTATTTTTATCCGTTTTGGTCAAGCCGCTTCCCGTCCGACACGACCCAAGCAACGTTCAAGTTGCGTCAGAAAAAACAACTTTCTCACTAGAACAATAATTAGAATACTCTGTGCTGAAAAACAACTGGTCATTTTAAGAATTATTTATATTATTTTACCAATTAACCGTGTGTATTACACACAAGCTTTATAATTATAAACATCGGAACAACTACTCCCAATTTGAGAACATGTAATGTCTCTTAACTCCTGAATGCAGCACAAAGTCCGTTCTGCTAAAATACTAACAACAACAAGCTAGCGTTCAAGAACTCATCGGGACCTAAGTCATTCCTGGGGCTTTTGACAAATCCAATAAATTTGCCAGAGAGGACACAGATCTCAAGAACTTTAAGATGGAAACGACTGAGCTTGACAAGCAGCCGTTCACCCTCGCTAAAGACCGAAGCTCTTATCTCCTTGTTAACCATGGTTTACCATGCTGAAAAGCTGCTGCCTCTCTGTGTCTTCCTGTACGTATGATGTGGTCGTAATGCATTCACACTCTCAGAAGTACTGTTTCAGGTAGAAAAAGGTTTTAAATCATATATTAATAACAATAAAAACAAATGTACTTTGAATCTAACTAGTGTTTGTGCATTATCTGTTTTGAATTTGTAGAATGACTTTTTCTCTTTTGTTTAAATCTGAGATCAGTGTTAAAGGGTCTTTTTATAATTAATATGCCTTATTTAAAAAAACGGCCATTTGAGAAATTGTTTTGTTTGATATACTTTAAGAAATGTTTGTTTGCTAAGAGTTTATTTCAAATAGTATAATTTACAGTGTCATTTGGTTTTGGTGTTGTTTTTATGTTATGATCTTACCAGTGGCGGATGCTGGTCTTTCAAGAAGAGGAAGCTCAGTTTAGGCCTACATCATAAAATGTGTGGCTTATAAATTCTAACCTCCGTTCCTTTTCAAGAAAATTTTGTTTATATTATTTATTCATTTCATTTTTAAAAACAAAACATTACAACAAAACAAACAAATAAAATAAAAGGCAGCAGAAGAAGAAAAATATAT